AATCTGTTTCATCAAAACACAAATACTTCCAGGAACAGATTAGATTTCCACAGACAATTTGCAAAAGTTGTCATACTAGAATGTGACAGTCTCAGATACATGAGTTTTGAAAATGTTTTAGCATAATATATATAACTTTTTGTGTGATGTATATGTGTGTGTGTGGTCCCTGTACATGCAGAGGCCAGGAGTATACTGGGTGTCCTGCTCTTGGTTTTTTTCTTTGAGACAATGATCCTCCTGTCTCCATCCCAACGGAGTTGGAGTTATAGGTTTGCATGTGAACACAGCCAGTTTTTAACATGGATACCAGAGATCTGAACTGGGGTCCTGGTGCTTGGGCAGCAAATGCTCTTCTTACCACTGAGGAACTTCTTTAGCCCTAGAACCATAATTTCTGACCCTCTTCCTGATCACTACTCAGGAAGAGCAATTAAACCCCACATAAGGGCACAGATTCTCAACTCCACCACTTCTTGTGTGAATAACCTCTCTCTCTAAGGACTCATCTTTTTTTTTTTTTTTTTTTTTCCGAGACAGGGTTTCTCTGTGTAGCTTTGTGCCTTTCCTGGATCTCGCTCTGTAGACCAGGCTGGCCTCGAACACACAAAGATCTGCCTGCCTCTGCCTCCCGAGTGCTGGGATTAAAGGCGTGCGCCGCCGCCCGGCTTAAGGACTCATCTTAATATCCATATATTAATGCAGCCCTTAACCCTCATCGATGCTTCTTACAGTAGATGGTGATCAATACACAGACTCACACTGGTCAGTGTGCAGAGACTGAGAGTGCTCAGCCCTAGATTCGATATCTCTGTCACACCACCTACGCTCACGGTTCAGGTATCATGGAGGAAGAGAAGCCTGTAAGAGCCAGAGGGAGAGAGAGAGGCGGGCTACACAAGAGACTTCTGAAGATGTGGCAGCCCACTGCATTCATGAACAACTCACAGCAGCAGTGACTGTGCAAGACCCGCACAAGCTCAAGCTACCTAAAAAATCCCACCGAGGATGGGGGAGGGACTCACAAAATCCTCCTCCCCCACCCCCTCCTCAGGAACAATTGTCAATTTATGACTGCTTGGGGAGGGAGACTCAGTTTTCTTCAGTGATGCAGCCCCAGGGGGATTACCCATGCCAAATTCTGGCAGAATTAAGTGGACTCGGCTTAAAAAAGAATACTTGAAATTGGGAAGGAAAATAAAAAAATGGGGGGATCTATGGGAGAGTTGAAGGGGAGAAGTGGGGGTGGATTTGATCAAAACATATTATGGGCATGTATAAAATTCTCAAACAATTAAAATAAAAAGAAAGATCTGGGCAAGGAAGGGAATTCTTTTAAGATGAAGGAAGAGTGTGAAGAGAGATAGGAGAAGGTCCTACTGGAAAAGAAAGCAGAGTATGTATGTGGTAACTTCTGCCGTCCTTCTGCAACCAACTGCAAAAAAGTGTCGGCACCATGCAGCCAGCCCCCAGCTCTGCAGCGGGAACTCCCAGATCACAACAGTCTTCCCAACTCATTGCTTTTCTTGTACACAGCTCTTTCTATGTTGGACCCCACTTTATCCAACAACACAATCTGATGGTGGAGGATCTTATCCCCAGTCCACCGGGAAAGGTGCTAAGCAAGGGCTGCTGGGGTTCACCGGCTTGCCCCCAAGAGAACACACTACAAAAATAGAAAAGAAAAGGAGGGAGGCATGGTCGCTCCCCACCGATAATCCCAGAACTTGGGAGGCTGAGGCAGAAGGCTGTCTGTCATAAGTTCTAGGCCAGACTGGGCTCTGTATGTATAGAGTATAGCCCTATCTCCAAAGAGTGGAAAAGAAGTTGAACAGAAATCAAGCTGGAATGCTGGGATTAAAGGCATGTGCCACCACTGCCTGGGTCATTTCCTCCCGGCGATTTCCTCCCTTTTCATCACCTGCCCCTTGCTGTGAGGACCCAGAAGCAATGGAACAGTACAAAGACAAAGCATGGGTAACCTGCAGTGGGTGTGAAGCAATCAGAGGCAGAAAACCTGGTCCCCACTCAATGTCAGGAACCCTACAAGATGAGGACAGTTGGAACAGAAGAGTCCATTCTGGCAGTGACAGTCAGGATGGCCAGACACCTGGCCCTCCATTAATTAGGACACCAGGCATATGGTCACTTCAGTCACTAAAGTCTAAGTATTATGTAACTTTGCTCCACCCAGGCTGGCCTCAAACCTCACTATGTACCCAAGGGCTTTGAACTCTTTCTGCCTCTAACTCCAGAAGTGCTGGGATTACAGACATGAGCCAATATGGCGAGCCTGAGAGATGCCTCAGTAGGGAAAGGTGCTTGCTGTGAACTCCTGGCAACCTGAATTTGATCCTGGAACTTATGTAAACACGGAAGAAACAGCTCCTGAAATTTGTCCTTTGACCTCTACACTGGCACTGCAGTACACATAACCCCTGTCCCTCCCCCACATATAAGAATTATCTATGCCAGGCATTGGTGGTGCACGCCTTTAATCCCAGCACTCGGGAGGCAGAGCCAGGCAGATCTCTGTGAGTTTGAAGCGAGCCTGGGCTACCAAGTGAGTTCCAGGAAAGGCGCAAAGCTACACAGAGAAACCCTGTCTTGAAAACAACAACAACAACAACAAAAAGAATTATTTAATTGCTTTAAAATGGTTGAAATAAAAGTGAAATTGAATTCTTCAAATCAAATTTAAATGGTTAATATTTGCTCAGACTTTTTTTTTAAAGACAGGGCCTTGCTGGCCTAGTACTTCCTATGTAGGCCAGGCTAACTTCAAACTTGTAATTCTCTGGTCCCCACCCCCCAAGAGCTGGAATTGCAGGTGCATACCATCATACTCAAATGTGGATGTGACATCTCAGCCCTTCCCCAAACTGAAACAGTGTCTTTTAAATCCCCCTTCTCTAAAGAGGATACTGAGGCAAGAGAGGAAGTCAGTTGTCCCAAAGTCACAGAAGTAACACATGGTGGAGGCAGAGAAAAGAAAACCCGTGGCAGTCTGGTCTTACATCCTGTGCTCTTATCAACCACCCAGACCTTCTACATTTTACCAGCCTGGAAGTCAAAAATGATTGCGCAGAGACCTGTAACACCAATTCACTCCAGCAGGCCCCTGCAGACTGCTCACTAATGCAGGAAGCCCGGGTCAGATTCTCAAAAGCACCCCAAGAAATATTTTCATCTTCATGGCTACTTTACAGATGAGGAAATAGCTCAGACGAGTACATTCATTTGTCCAAGCTCGGCTACACTGGTTAATGACCACATGGTGTGTATCAACACCCGTGTAGGGACTAACTCCACGTAATCCTCGGAATTAACACTGCAAGGTAAATTCCACTGTTAACTCATCCTTCTCACCTAAAGAGCTTGTCCAAGGCTCTATTCTAACTTAGCAAAGGGCACGGCCAGGATTCAGTCTGGCTCAAAGTCCTCCTCAAAACAAAGTCATGGTAACACTTGGCTACATGGAGGAGGAACAGAAATTCCAACCCAGATCTAACCCGGGGTCAGAACCTATTTACCCTTAGGTCTGCAGACCTGTGGCTGGAAAGCCTGCAAAGTGCTCTGGGGAAGGTACATTTAAGGAGCAGCATCTCGAAGGAGAATGTGCTTTGGGGACACAATGGTGTTAGTAAAAGAAATGAAAAGTAAGGAATCCCCATCCCAAGGAAGCTTTTCCAAACAGCAATGCAGTAAATGAGCAAGGCATTAAACTATTAAGAAAATCAGATTAAATCAGAAAAGCTTTACATCATCTTCTTCATTAAAACATACTCTTGATGAAGGAAAACAGGTTTTTAATTCCCTTTCATTTCGACCACACACTTGAAATTCAACAGGGAACCAAAATGCGTAAATTTCCTTCTGTCACACTAGCTGATCATCCCGACTTTGAACAGCTACTTCCTCAAACTGAGCCCTGCAAAGCCCAGTGGTTTACCAGACCTCCAGGGACCTTCGCAAAATTCTCCTTCAAGTCTTGAAATAGACATTTAGAAACCGAAATAAGCCAGGAAAGAAAAAGAAAAAAAAAATTAAGCCAAGAACCAGGGGGAACTAGCGCACCTCTTTCTGGTTGTACCAGGGGCTCTGGTTCGTTTTGGCAGAAACGCCGCAGGGTCAGATTCATTCTAATGGCCATCTGATTTATGACCACAATATCTGCAGCTGCGGAAGCACAGCTCTCAAGCATATGCCCGAGAAAAAAGGAACAGGAAACGATGGGAATAGCGAGGGAGCCTTGGAGGTCAGTGCTTGTTCCTGGATTTGTAAGATTGGGCAAGTGATAATTCTAGGAAAAAGTGCGGGGCGATCGGCCAACTCCAGGGTCCCAAACGTGAGCCCCGAACAAGGTACTTTCACGCCCCCTTGTGGACCCAAGTGACAACTGACGACGTGCCAATTAAGGGAGAGGTAAAGGGCTCCGACACGTTCTTCCAAGACGAGCCTTAAGCGCAACCCTTCAAGGGACTCGCAGAGATCCGCCCAGTTTTACATATAAGTAAACTGAGGCTCAAGGAAGGGCAGCATCCCTTGCTACCAAAAAGGAAAGCTGAACTGAAGGCAATCGTGAAGCTAGTGCCTTTTATCTGGACGTTCAGGGGCTGGGGTCCGATCCGATTCTTCTTTTCGAACCCAGCAGGCTCTCGGCTATCATGAGGGAAACCTGGCACGGGGACGGCGCGCACTGAGTGGTGGCGAGTCCGCGGGACGCAGGGCTGCAGAAGCCCAGCTAGGGCGCAGCCTGCACCATGCGTTCCCGGTTCCCCGGCATCGGTCCCTGCAGCCTTCCTGAAGCTGCTCGTCCCGGGGCTGCAGCCGCCCGGCACTCGCGCGGCTCGAACCAACCATCCCACGCGCCCGCAACGGTCCCGGCGCCCCGCGAGCCACCGAGCCTGCCACAAGCCAGATGGCTCGTGCTCTCCGGACCGCGGCGGGCACCGCCAGCAGTGCAACCGGGAGCCCACCGACCGAGCGCCTCTCCTTACCGGAGCTGCTCCCCGGTCACCAGGACTTCAGCCATGCGTTCCAGCTCTCTCTGATGCGCCCCGCCACCCCCGCTGGTGTTGCTGTCGCTGCCACCACTGCCGCCGCCGCCGCTGCTGCCCTCCTCCATGCTCCCGACCGCGCGGCTGCCACTCTGCCTTTGCTGTCCTGCCGGGTGCCTGGCGTTCGGATCAGGCTGCCCTCGCCGAAGCCGCCCCGGCCATCTTTGTTCCTGGCGGCCCCGTGGCTCAGACGCGATTGGCTGGTGAGGGAATCCCTGCGGGCAAGCTGAAGATTTCGGCGAGTCCGGCCCTGGAACTTCGGCGTGGGGGCGTGGCCTGGTCGCTCTCGTGGTCCGGGGGCGGGGCCAAGGAGAAAAATATAAACACCTAGGCGGGGCAGTGAGCTGTGCGTTTCTTGAGGAGGTTGAGTGTTTCCTTTTATATCCCTTTTTTGTTTGTTGGTTTCCAAACTCGTGCTGGGGAATTTTGCATTTTTATTGTACTTTCCGTAGCCGTGTTGCAGAGACTAAAAATGAGAACAATCGAGGATGTCGCTGAAGGGCATTCCACTCTTCCTGACCACTTTCCCTGTGGACAACCTACTGCCTTAGAGTGGAGTCAGTAAAGCATCTTGGCCTGCTGTTCAAAAAGACTAAGAATCTGGCCTCATTGCTGTGATCTCCTACCTAAATGCTCTTAATCCCTTCTTGCAATAATTGTTGCTAGCACCTGTCGACACCTGGTGCATTAAAGATGTTTCACGTAGGTTGTTGCCTTGCTTGATTTCCAGAAGATCATAATCTGAGCATTGCCTTCCTTTAGCATGCAGAAGGCGACTCGAAGGAGTGAGGTAACTTGTCTCACGCAAGCAGGCAAGGCCATTCCAGATTTTTAGGCTGTGTTTTAAAACAACTGCATCTTTTCCAGGCGTGGGTACACACCGGTGTTCCCAGAACTCCAGAAGATGAGGCAGGAGGATTGTGAGATTGAACCACATACAAAGATACCTTGTCTCATAAAACAAATTAAAACAAATGCCATTCACCTGACAAGCTAGAGCAACACGGTAAACTTTTAGAAGAGTGGAGTTAAAGACGTTTGAATGGCAAAACTGGTCCAAAATGTTCATTAAAAAATGGGCTGGCATCATCCCTTTTCATTTTTGGATTGTAAACTTCCACATAGCTGCAATTCGGATTGTGTCTTTCATGGTCGAATAAATAGTCTGAAGTGTCTTTGAATTTTCCTTCTGTAAGATCCAGGCACGCGTGTCTATGTACCTTGTCACAAGTCCTGTGACAACAGTAGCAGTCACAAGCTGCGGGGAGTGTCGATGCATACCGCAGCACATGCTACCATGAATGTTACTTGACCTTCCTGAAGACTACTTACTGGGCACAAAAATAGAACATTTAGCACTTTGCACAGCCCAGTCATTGGTAAACAAAACCACTATCGTCCCATTTTAAGAGACTGATTACGATAGGCTGTTTGAGATAGACTCTTGCTGTGTAGGCCAAGTTGACATCAAACTCATGATCCCCCTGCCTTGGCCTCCCAAGTTCTGGGATTGTAAGCACTGAACATCATGCTCTGCTCTATTTTTTTTCCCCCCAAAGGAAAACTCACATTCGTCTTTTCTAGTGCTCTGAGAAGACCAGTCAGCCCTCACGATTTGCTGGAGTATTGCAAAGGTTTGTTGAGCCTTTATTTATGTTTGTGCTTTACCTGACGCCATGAACCTTTTTAGTAGTGTTTAATTTTTCCTCAGGAAACCCGGCTAGGTCTTAGTGTGTCTAAGTTTCACAGCTAGGAAGTAAAAGGAAATAACTCCCTTTAATAGAATATCTTAGGCAACCCCTCTGCCAAAAGAAATTATTTACACTCACTAACTTTTATAAACAGACAGTATTTTAAAAGATGGACCAAGAGAGACAGCTTTTAGTGAAATATGATTGATTCTAAGAGTCCCGTTCTGATAGTATGGACATCGAGTCATGGAGGTAGGTGGCCTAAACTTAGAGTAACAGCTGTCTGTTTCTCAAGGTTTTGTTTGTTTCTTTGTGTTTGTTTGTGTTTGGTTTTTCAAGATAAGGTTTCTCTGTGTAGCCCAGCTGTCCTGGAACTCAGAGGTCTGCCTGTCTTTGCCTCCTGAGTGCTGGGATCAAAGGTATGCACCACCACGCCCAGCTGTTGTTTCTCATGTTTTAAATCTTATACTTCCTACACAGAATTGAGAGGTTTTTGGGTGGGGGATGGACATGGGCTTTTCACTCAACTCTGCAATCTTGATCTTCATTCTATCATTGTCTAACTTTATAATCTGATACTAATCACTAAATCTCTTTGGTTCTCAATTTCCTATTGATAAAACAGGAAGAGTAATTTTTACTTTCTAGGGATGGTCTTTGACATTCATCAAATAATGGTTTCATTAAAAAAATTTGAAGATCCATTTTAGGAACAAAATTTTGTACATTTATGATTTTAAAAAAATCACCATAATTTTTTTTTCCGAGACAGGGTTTCTCTGTGTAGCTTTGGAGTCTGTCCTGGAACTCACTCTGTAGCCCAGGCTGGCCTCGAACTCACAAAGATCCGCCTGGCTCTGCCTCCCGAGTGCTGGCATTAAGGGCATGTGCCACCACCGCCTGACAAAAATCACCATAATTTAAGGCTAAAAATTTTCAGGTCAGAAAAATACCTGACCTGAAAGGGAAAGTAACTTTTAACTTTATTTTTAGATTCAACTTTTTGAGACAAAAATCTCATGTAGCCAAGGCTGGCCTTGAACTCCTGATTTTCCTGCTTCCACTTCCCAAGTGCTGCTGGGCCTGGGTATTTTTCTTGAAATCCCCTCCCATTTGTGTGTGTGTGTGTGTGTGTGTGTGTGTGTGTGTGTGTGTGTGTGTGTGGTGGGTGGTGGTGATGTGTATGTATGTATGTGTGTTCCGTGGTGTGTATGTGTTCAGTGGTGATGATGGTTTGTGTAAGGATTTGGTCCTTAATTACATCATCAGCCTGTGATGGCGTCCCAGCCTAAAAAGCGGGTGTGCCCTCTGTGTGTCCCTCTCTTTCCTTTCTGCTCCTTCCTTCCATCTGTCCTCTCTCTCTCTCTCTCTCTCTCTCTCTCTCTCTCTCTCTCTTCTTTCTTTCTCTCTCTCTCTTCCCACCCCCTCCCAATAAAGCTCTAAAAAGGTAACCACAGCTCGAGCAGCGCGCCATTTAACCAACAGTTTGTGTGCCTGTGAAGATATCTGTAGATAATGAGAGTTGGTTTGCTGTTATGTATTAAGCTCCTGATACATGGAACCATCTTACTTCACTGCTGAAGACACTCTTCTAATAGTGAACTGACTCCCGGGGACAAGTAGGTTCCAATGGCTGTCACTGTGAGTCCTGGAGCAACAATGCCTGTGACTAATGACAGAAGACAGAAAGGCATTGCTGTGGCAGTTCATCCCACACCAAGGTTTTGGGAGAGCTGAGAACCCTCACAGACTTTGGATTGGTTCCTGACTGCACTTGCAAGCTGGTTGTCTTCTCAGAATTTCTGTCCTCAAAGGGGAAGGTTATATGCCACCAGCCCCATTGGTTATTGAGGGCATTAAATGAAATTTAGTTAAGTATTACAGGTGGGAACTAGTAAGTGTGAGCATCTTTTCCAGCTCTCCTCACTCAGCCTTTTTGATGCCTTCTGGGTGTTTTGGTGCTTTGAGATCAATATCAAAGTTTGGATAGGGAAGGTCCAGGTGTGTGTGTGTGTGTGTGTGTGTGTGTGTGTGTGTGTGTGTGTGTGTGTGTGTGGTGTCCATCTAAGCAATCAAAGTGTAATATTTTGGTGAAATATAAAATAGATAAATTAAGTAAATAGGCATACTTAACACATTCCCAAACCGCATGGGGGTAAATACTCTGTAAGATTGCTATGAACGTTTCTGAGTGATTTCTCTCAATAACAAACAGTATGTCTCCGTTTTTTCACAGAGGTTAGTGGCCACTCCCTGGGTCAACCATATTTTAAGTGCTGATGTAATGAACTCTTCCTAAAGGCGAGTCACAAAGTGAAGAGATGAACTTGAATTACTAAAAATACAAAAGTATAGTGTCAGCCCTCAAGCTGAATGATAGGTTAGATGTTATCTGGACTTGGTGGTGCACACCAGAATCCCGGCATTTGGAAGATAGAAGGAAGGTCAGCAGTTCAAGGTCAACCTTAGATACATAGCAAGTTCAAGACTAGCCTGGAATATATGACATCCTGCCTCAAAAACAAACTAACAAAAACTATGGCTGTTGCTTCTAAGAGTCTGTCTGTCTCGCTCCTGCTTGATGCCAATTGTTAAGGTCCGTGAGAAGTCCTGTAAAAGAACACCAGACATGGTGCATCCAACAAGAGTGCTTACTATCTCGAGAGTAAAGATACCAGCCTGCTGGGTCCGAGTATCCAACACAAAGGCAAAAATGGCGACCCCACGAAAAGCTTGCAGGCTCTTCTATACACAAGTAAAGGAGTTTTAACAGCAGTATGATCATTCTACCTAGGATTGGCTTACGCAAGTGGCAATCATATTAGTACATTTCTAATTGGTTAGGGCTAGCAGGGGTGGGCTAAGGCTATAGCTTTTCCGTTCTTGGGCAAGTCTAGACAAGTCCCAGGCTATGTCCTGATTTGGTTATTACCTGTGGGGGCAGAGGGAGGGGTTTGGCCCAGGCAACGGTGCTGTTCCCCTTGTTTCAAGAGGCAAGTACTGAGGCCTAGTTCTTAACTGAGTTATTAGAAGCCTGTCATGGTATTTGCCTGGCTTTCTCACTAATGAGATGCCTTCTGTCTGTCATCTTTCTGGGCTCTACTTCACAAGTTATACTTCCCTATGAATTTATGTTTTCTTCAAAAACCTGTTTCATTCTCCTTTAGTAGGTGTGTGTGTGTGTGTGTGTGTGTGTGTGTGTGTGTGTGTGTGTGCACATGTGGAGATGAGAAGACAGTTCTTTCCTTCGACCAAGTCAGACCCAGGGACTAAACTCAGGTCCTCAGGCTTGGCATCCAATGCTTTTACCATCTAAGCCATCTCCTCACCCCCTGAATGTACGTCTTCTTATAAAAGGGTTAGAGTGTTCTCAAACATGAACAGAAGTCCTGATTCTTTCACCACCATACTTGTTATTGATTTTGTGAATAGAAGAAACTGATGGTTTAGAATTTCCTCTCCAATATGTGTGCAGAGGGCCTGGTACATGTTGCCTCAGTCTCTGTGAGCTCATCTGAGCTTTGCTCATATTGATTTAGAGGGGCCTTGTTTACTTGGTGCCCCCTATCCCCTCTGGCTCTGACACTCTTCCTTCTTAGGGTTCCCTGAGCTCTGTAGGGAGGGATTTGATGGATTGATGAACACATCCCACTTAGGATGGAGTGTTATCCTGTCCAAATATTTTTATTGCTAGATCTGTCGAGAGGGGGCTAGTCTTTAACACAATGATTGTAAGAACTGGGAACGTATCCTAGTGACAGAGCACTTGCCGAGCATGACCAAGGACATGTCAGAAACAAACAAATAAGCTCTCGGGTGAGACCTGAGAACCTGGATTTAACAACAAACAAAAGACAAATGACAGGAAATAAACACTAATGGTAAAGATAGTGAAAAGTAAGACATCCATGACTTCATAATTCATACCCACTTTAATATTTTATCGTGTTGATTCATCTTTGTGTAAGGAAACAGAAGAAGCTGTTTTTTCGGATTCAGCCCTCCTTACCGCCCCAGACTGTGTACTATTTTGGTAAGTGCTGCCACCTACTGATTACTTTTGCAATGACACTAAAAGACTGTAAATTGCCTATGACAATCTGGCCACCTCCCAGAGGTTCTGTTGGGAAGTTTACCGTCTATTACATTTATTCGGGTGGTACTGGCTTTTAGTGATCAGGTACTAGATATGATATATACCACACTTCCTTAGGGCCATGACTCCCAAAGAACTGGATTGTCCCAAATCTCAACTGTCTTTCTTTGGAGGTAGTTTTTGCACAATTTTAACATAACATAAAATGGTCAGGAGTGTGATTATTGTATGTATTGACGAATTGAACCTTGTGCTGTTCCAATCTTAAAGAGAAAAGGTTTGCCTTTGGGTAAAGTGACTCTATTTCACACACATGGCAAATAGCGCTTCAGTTTGCAAACAGTAGCCGCAGCGTGCAGCAAAAGCATGTACA